CATCCTTATAGTGACCCAAAATTGGAATGCATGATCTGACAGCTGGAATCTTTAAAATCTGAGGCCTTTAAAACTCAGGCCCAAGGCCCTGGCAGCCGCCCGGCGTCAGGGCTCGGTGAGGGCGGGGCTATGCGCGTGTGGACCAATGAAGAGAAAGCAAAGTGGGAGGGGCGGGGAGTCGAAAAAACTAGCCAATGAAGTATGGGGGCCTGGATCAGCGGTGGGAAGCCTTCCTTGAAGCGAGGGGGCGTAATTCAGAGCAACGGGGGGAGGATCTTTAGGGAAGAGGAGCTAATGAAAGAATAGGGGGCGAGACCAAAGGAGGGGTTGATGAGCAAGGGGTCGCGACAGGATCAAGGGGTGGAGCCACACGTTGCGAGTGGGTGGGGTTGCGCCCGGTGGGCGTGGCTTATGGGAGCTACCCCTCCTGACTGTTCTAGGTCAAGCCCAGCGCAGCATCTCACAGGCCACCTCTTCCACGTGCCGTGGATACCCCGGGGACGGCGCCGGCTCCAACCACCACTTCGGCTCCTGCTGCAGCTCCAGCCCTGAACCCTTCCTCAGCGCCGGGCTCACCGGCTCTGACTCTGGAGGAGGAGCTGCAGGAAGCGATCCGGAGGGCGCAGGTAAGAGGGTGTGGGTTGAATCCGGCTAGGGTTCTCTAGTCAGGTCCAGGTCGGAGTCCCGAGTTCTCGCCGAATTTCTCCATCCGCAGTTGCTTCCGAACCGGGGCATCGATGACATCCTGGAGGATCAGGTGGAGCCTGATGGTAGGATCTGAATTCTTAGATTTAGGGGAGGTAGGGGCTGAGGTTCCGGGCTCCTACGTCCAAGGGAGGCATGAGCTGGGGAGCTGGACTCCTGGAAATGGGGTTTGGGGGGCTGGCAGCCGGACCCCTGACTTTCCCAGCTCACGTACCATTCTTTATCCCGCAGACCCCCTGCCCCCCATTCCCCTGGACTTCCCTGGCTCCTTCGACGTGCTGTCCCCTTCCCCGGACTCTGAAGGCCTCTCGTCTGTTTTCTCCTCTTCACTCCCATCTCCCACGAACTCCTCCTCCCCTTCTCCCAGGGACCCCACGGACTCCCTGGACTGGCTGGAGGCCCTGAGCGGGGGTCCTCCTCTGGGTTCTGGTCCCCCACCCCCCAGCATCTTCTCTGCTGACTTATCTGACTCCAGCAGCAGTCGGCTGTGGGACCTGCTGGAGGATCCGTGGTGATGGATTCTGGGATTTACAGAGACAGAGAACTGGTGGGGGTGGAGAGAAGCTCTTTGAGGGAGGAGAGGGAACTACCAGCAGAGCCCCTCCTACCGCAGACACAGGATGGGAGACAACCTCCAACCCCACCTGCCTCCTGAAGTGCTGCTGACATGCAATGCAACTGCCTGAACTTTGCCTACCTGGCCTCCTTATGATCCCCCTCCGGGATGGTACCGTTTGGGGGCTTCTTTTGCTGCTGGCCACAGCAAACAAGCTGCTTGCTGCTTCCTTCAGAGGCCTCATGGATGTTTTTACATGCTCCCGACCCCAGTAGATGGCTGCCTGTTGTTTGGGGAGCCTGGAAGGTGGTTATGTCTTTTGAATGCAGGAGAGGAGCAAGAAAGAGTGGAGAGGGAGAATGGGGGAGCCAGACCCTGACCTCCCGGGGTTGTGGTTGGAGATGAAAAAATTAGAAGCATCAGGTCTAAGATCAGCTTCTCTTGGAAGCAGAGTCTGAGACAAGATATAAATGCCAGTGATTTATTAAAGAAGTGTTCTGCCGGGCACGGTGGCTCATGCCTGCAATCCCATCACTTTGGAAGGCTGAGGCAGGTGGATCACCTGAAGTCAGGAGTTCCAGACCAGCCTGGCCAACATGGTGAAACCCTGTCTCTACCAAAAATACAAAAAAAAAAAAAAAATTAACTGGGCATGGTGGCATATGCCTGGAATCGTGGCTACTTGGAAGGTTGAGGCAGGAGAATCTCTTGAACCCGGGAGGCGGAGGTTGCGGTAAGCCAAGATCGCTCCATTGCACTCCAGCCTGGGCAACAGGAGAAAAACTCCATCTTAAAAAAAAGGAAAAAAAAAAAAAAAAAAAAGAGAGAGAGAGAGAAAAAGAAAAAAATGTTCCCAGGAGAAGCCAGTAGAAGAGTGGGGAAAACAGGACAGCAAAGAGGAAGAGGAGCAAGAGGTGACTTCAGGTGAAGTGCCAACCTCAGCCTAATCCTGCAGGGAGCTCCAGAGCACAAATTAAGTTGTGGAGTCTTTCCCATCTTGGGACATATGGAACTGGGCCTTTGTATCTCCCTGTTTGAGCTTATTATAGCCGAACAACAAACCACCCCCAAACCGGCCTCAGTGGCAAATGCCTGTAACCCCAGCACTTTGGGAAGCTGAGGCAGGCAGATCACTTGAAGCCAGGAATTCAAGACCAGCCTGGCCAACATGGTGAAACCCATCTCTACTAAAAATACAAAAAAACTAGCCAGATATGGTGGTGGGAGCCTGTAATCCCAGCTACTTGAGAGGCTGAGGCAGGAGAATTGCTTGAAACAAGGAGGTGGAGGTTGCAGTGAGCTGAGATCATGCCACTTCACTCCAGCCTGGGCAACAGAGTGATACTCCATCTCAAAACAAACAAAAAACAAACAACAAAAGCCCACACCACCCCAACACTTAGAGCTGTAAAACAATAACTATACATGATTGCTCGCAAATGCATGGGTTGACTGGGCTCAGCGGGGCAGTTCTTCAGTTCCATGTTATGTTGGCTAGAGGTGCAGTCATCTCAGGGCCCACCTGGGCTAGCACATACAAGATGGTACATTAGATGTGTGTGGCACCATGGTGGGGATAGCATGAGGACTGGGCCCAGCTGGGTTGTGGGGACATCTGGACTTCTCTCATTCTCCATGCAGTGTCAGCACTGTCCCTCTGTGGCCTCTCCACCAGAGTAACTAGATTTCTTGCATGATAGCTCAGGGCTCCCAAGAATGAGTATTCCAAGAGGGGGGAGCCGAAGCTACCAGTCTCTTAAAGACTAGGCTTGAAACTGGCACAATTTCTCTTCCATTGTATTTTATAATTAATGCAAGTCGGGCAACCTGAGGTTAAATATGGGAGGGCACTATACAAATCTGAATATCAGGGACATGCTCACTAGGGGCTATAGTTTGGAGACTTGCCACTACACCACCCCTAGTCAGTCATGAGCCATGGGTCATGGAGGGAGGGAGGAATAAACTCCCAGGAACCTCCAGCCCAAGGGCAGTCCTGGGAAGAATGTCATAGGGTAAGTTATTCGCGGCAAAATGTTTTAAAATGTAGGTTTTGGTCGGGTGTGGTGGCTGATTCCTGTAATGCCAGCACTTTGGGAGGCCGAGGTGGGTGGATCACGAGGTCAGGAGTTCGAGACTAGCCTGACCAATATGGTGAAATCCAGTCTCTAGTAAAAATATAAAAATTAGCAAGGCGTGGTAATGTGCGCCTTTAATCCCAGCTACTCGGGAGGCTGAGGCAGGAGAATGGTGTGAACACGGGAGGCAGAGCTTGTAGTGAGCCAAGATTGTGCCACTGCACTCCAGCCTGGGTGACAGAGTGAGACTTCATCTCAAAAAAAAAAAATAATAATAATAATAATAAAAAATAGGTTTCAGGGCCAGGCACCGTGGTTCATACCTGTAGTCCCAGCTACTCTGGAGGCTGAGGCAGGAGGATCACTTGAGCCTGGGAGTTTGAGGTTGCAGTAAGCTATGACTGCACCACTGCACTCCAGCCTGGGCAACAGATCAAGACCCTGTCTTTCAGAAAAAAAAAAAAAAGGCTGGGTGCGGTGATTCACACCTGTAATCCTAGCACTTTTGGAGGCCGAGGTGGGTGGATCACCCTGAGGTCAGAAGTTTGAGACCAGCCTGGCCAACGTGGTGAAACCCCATATCTACTCAACACACACACACACACACACACACACACACACACACACACAAATTAGCTGGGCGTGGTGGTGCACACCTGTAGTTCCAGCTACTCGGGAGGCTGAGGCAGGAGACTCACTTGAACCTGGGAGGCAGAGGTTGCAGTGAGATGAGATCATGCCTGCACTCCAGCCTGGGCAACACAGTGAGACTCCATCTAAACAAAACAAAACAAAACAAAAAAACAAACCAGAAGAGGCAAGGTAAGCAGGTTTGAGATTACCTAGTTTGAATTTCAGCAGGCTCTGGAGCCTAAAGGTTGTCCTGAGTTTTTGGTACCTGGCCCGGGGGTAATTAGCACAGGTGGATGGTGGCTCAGGGAGCCTGTGCTCATAAAGGTGTGGATGGGGTGTGGGCTCTGGATTGGCTGGTTTACATAGGAAAGGTGAGTAGTTGACTATCTCTAGCATTTGGGGTTGCTGGAGTGGGGATTTAAATCAGATTTAGCATGTCATAACTTAGTCCACAAGGGAAAAAAAATCAAATTTAGGCTGGGAACTGTGGCTCACACCTGTAATCCCAGCACTTTAGGAGGCCAAGGCAGGAGGATCGCTTGACGCCAGAAGTTCCCAGAACAACCTGGGCAACATAGCAAGACCCCATCTATGAAACAAAGTGTTGCTCTTTCATCAAGGCTCGAGTGCAGTGGCACAATCATGGCCTCTACCTCCTGGGCTCAAGTGATCCTCCCATTTCAGTCTCTGGAGTTTCTGGGACTACAGGCACACACCACCATGCCCAGCTAATTTATTTATTTAGAGATGGAACTTCACTCTTGTTTCCCAGGCTGGAGTGCAATGGCACGATCTTGGCTCACTGCAACCTCCGCCTCCCAGGTTCAAGCTATTCTCCTGCCTCAGCCTCCCAAGTAGCTGGGATTATAGGCAAGGGGCCACATCGCCCCGCTAATTTTTCATATTTAGTAGAAACAGGTTTCACTATGTTAGTCGGGCTAGTCTCGAATTCCTGATCTCAGGTGATCCCCCGGCCTCGGCCTCCCGAAGTGCTGGGATTACAGGTGTGCACCACCGTGCCCAGCCATTTTTGCACCTTTTATAGAGGACAGGGTTTCACTATGTTGCTCAGGCTGGTCTTGAGCTCCTGACCCCAAGTGATCCTCCCACCTCAGCCTCCCAAAGTGCAGGGATTACAGGTGTGAGCCACCACACCTGGCCCGGAGACTTTCCTGACTGTATCGCTCTCCATATTAATCTGTCCCCATATCTGCCTGACTCAGGTCACTCTGTCCCGGTTCTGTCTTCATATCTCTTATGTTCTCTGTCTGATTTGCCCTCTGACTGTTCTCTCTTCCCTGTCTCTGTCTCCAACTCCCTCCTGCCCTTTATCTGTGATGCATCCGTCATCCCTTTCAGTCTCTGCGCTCGTCTCTCTGTGTCTCAGGCACTCTTTCAGCTTCTGCCAGGCACCCCGCCTGCCCCCATTGCACCTTCCCCTCTCGCCTGCGTCCAGAGGGGGCAGTGTTGAGCTGAGGGTGCGCTTGGTCCCTGCACTGCCCCAAGGAGTCAGGGCCAGGAAGCGGGCTTGGTGGGGTGCGTGTCTGAACCTCAAGCCTAATGGAAAGTCTTGCCTCCTGCACTGCCCACCGCCGGCATCCAACCCTTCACCAAAGACTTCATCCCTCCCTCCTGCCTCAGGAAAACCAGGGCTGGACTGAGGGGGATCAGATGGGGAACCCCAAGGAGCACCTTCCTGCTCTGCCCCGATCTCGACAGAAGATGGATATTTACATCATGAGGCCTGAAAAAGACCACTAACATCAAAATACCAAAATCACTAATGTATCTTATAAACATATTCCCTCCCCAGAAGGGTATAGTCATATTCATTGTGTAGACTGAAAAAAATATTTCTCCTCCTCCTTCCTCTCTTTTTCCTTCCTTCCTTCCTTCCTTCCTTCCTTTCTTTCCTTCCCCTTCCCTTTTTTTTTTTTTTTTTAATTTGAGATGGAGTATCGCTCTTGTTGCCCAGGCTGGAGTGCAATGGTGCGATCTCAGCTCACTGCAACCTCCACCTCCCGGGTTCAAGCGATTCTGCTGCCTCAGCCTCCGGATAGCTGGGATTATAGGCGCCCACCACCACGCCTGGCTAATTTTGTATTTTTAGTAGAGATGGGGTTTCTCTGTGTTGGTCAGGCTGGTCTTGAACTCCCAACCTCAGGTGATCCACTGGTCTCGGCCTGCCAAAGTGCTGGGACTACAGGTGTGAGCCACGGCACCCAGACTCCTTCCTTCCTCCCTCTTTCTTTCTTTCTTTCTTTCTTTCTTTCTTTCTTTCTTTCTTTCTTTCTTTCTTTCTTTCTTTTTCTTTCTTTCTTTCTTTTTTTCTTTCTTTTTCTTTCTTTCTTTCTTTTTCTTTCCTTCTTTCTTTCTCTTTCCTTTTTCTCCTTCCTTCCTTCTCTTTTCTTTCTTTTTCTTTCTTTCTTTTCTTTCTCTTTCTTTCTCCTTCCTTCCTTCCTTCCTCCCTTCCTTCCTTCCTTCCTTCCTTCCTTCCTTCCTTCCTTCCTTCCTTCTCTCTTTTCTTTCTCTCTTCTCTCCTCTCTGTCTCTCTTTTGAGTTTCACTCTGTTGCCCTGGCTGGAGTGCAGTGGTGTGATCTCAGCTCACTGCAACCTTCACCTCCTGGGTTCAAGCAATTCTCCTGCCTCAGCCTCCCAAGTAGCTGGGATTACAGGTACACGTCACCGCTCCTGGCTAATTTTTGTATTTTTAGTAGAGACAGAATTTCACCGTCGGCTAGGCTGATCTCAAACTCCTGACCTTAAGTGATCCACCC